TAAAGCAGCTTCTCCTTGGCCTCTCCCTCCTTGCAATGTTTCTTTTCTTGTTAAACCATTGATTTGCTACAGAAACTCTGTTGTCTCTTCAATAGAAAGCTCATTATCACACAGTTATCAGAAATGGCCTAACATATATTTCCTACTCTATTCCTTCTTCTTTTTCATGGGAAGGAAAGAATGACTAACAATTGTTGAGCAGTAGTAACTTTGCTACAATATTTTTGTATGTCATTCATTTTCTCCTTACAACATTGCTATAGTGTGAATGTTAAGTCAATCAGACTCAAGGTCAAGCTGCAGTTAGTAAGGGTCATGCAGGACAGTGCATTAGAACACACCTATAATCCCAGCAACTCAGGAGGCTGAGGTAGAAGGATTGAAAATTTGAGGCCAGCCTGGCAATTTAGTGAGACCCTGTCTCAAAAAGGGGGCAGGAATGGAGATCAGCAGTAGAATACCCCTGGGTTTAATCTCCAGTACTGCAAAGTAAACAAACAAATAACAAAAAATAAGGGTAGAGGCATGATTTGAGTTAAATCTATTGACATGGGCACATGTTATTCAGCTCTGCAACAGAAGGATCTGCAAGGGGCTAGGGATCTGGCTCAGTGGCAGAGCACATGTCTAGCACATATGAGGCCTGGGTTCAATTCCCAGCGCACCAGAATTAAAAAAAAAAAAAATGTAATAGAATGACCTGCAAGTTTAACAGATTACATTGTCCTATTTTTCCATTTAGACACTCTTAGCTTATAAATTCTAATTTCAGCATAGTAATAATGGCTAAGGATGACTATTTACTCTTGTGTCCAATATTGTATTATTTTAAAAATTATCTCATAAACAACACATTGGATTTTGGTTGCACCTGTTGCTCAAATAGGAACATGAGTAGCACTCAAAGAACAACCTTGAAAAGTCCATTCAAAGAAGAATCAGAAGTATATGTTAACTCTCTTTTGCCATTTTCTTTGCTGTCTTTAGGGCATCCAGTTCTACACTCAGCTAAAGACCATCACTTCTCAGTGGAAAGAAGAAGATGCTACTCTTTCCTCACCTGCTGTAGTCATGCCTACCATGGGCCGTTAGAACTAAGTTTCTTCAAGACTCAGTCGTCCTGAGAAATCTCCCTTCACTCTTGACCAACTTCATTTGTCAACTTTGCTCAGATCAGATGCTTGGGATTAGAATATGTTGTTGTTCAACTCTTTCTCAGGACTCTTGGCCCCTTCGAATTTGCTGTAGGGAGACCCCTAATGTACCACTAACTTGCTCTTCTTATTTCTGCTTTGAAGGCAACTCTTGTAACTATAATGCTTATCTGGAATAAGAGCTTAATTAAGATCTGTTTTCTAAAACGTTTTCCCCTTTTTTTAATGACCTGAAGGAGGGTAAGGTCAGTGTATGTATACATCATCTTCCAATAATTGGAAGAAGAACCCTTGGATGAGAAAACAGGACAGAACTAGTTCATGAACCTCTGGTGGAGCCTTAAACACAGACCTTCATCAGTGCCAGTGGGCAAAACCCCTCTGCCAAGTTTTCCTGAGCTGCTTGCCCATTCCCTCACTACATAGGTATAATCCATTTCTATTTATCCCAACAATGTGATCACTGCTTTCTTTTCTGCTCAATGCCACTTTGTTGTCCCTGTGATTCATGACCACTAATTCTGTAATTGTTCTGGTTCCTGCTTCTTAAAATCAAATCTCAAGAATACCTCAGTATACAATGGATAAATCAATGTTTTATGTGCCAAATGTTAAGTGTCAGAGTTACTTCAATCATTTATCAGTACTTCAGTCATTAATTCAGATGCAATAATTTTCTTAGAAAATTCTTTCAAAAGTTATTTTAGACCCAGAAATCAAGGAGGGTTCCACCCACAAAACCAGGTTAGATTCTTGCCTTAAGAAAGTCATATATTCTATTATTTGCCAATTTAAAAAAAATTATTTTATTTTATTGGTACCAAACATTAAACACAGGAGTGCTTAACCACTGAACCATGTCCCCAGTATTTTTATTTTTTATTTTGAGACAAGGTCTTACTAAGTTGCTTAGCACCTTACTAGATTAGTGAGGCTGGCCTTGAGCTTGCAATCCTCCTGCCTCAGCCTCCTGAGTCACTGGAATTACAGGCATGTGCCAGCCACCATACCTGGCTTACCAAATTTTATATATTACTCTTTCTTTTTGCCTGGATTTCTCATTAGTGATACTTTTTACTGAGAGAACTCCTCATGTGATTGATTAGGGCCTAATAAATTTCAAAATTTTTCATTACTTAAAATAGTGAAGAAGAAATGCTTTGACAGTCTTCTGTTAATTCAGCTGCCTTTAACCTTTGTTTCTTTGATATGTCTTTTTTTTTTTTTGGTGGCAGATGGGATTGAACCTAGGGATATTTTACCACTGAGCTACATCCCCAGTCCTTTTTAGTTTTGATTTTGAGACAGGGTCTTACTAAGTTGCTGAGGGTCTTGTTAAATTTGGGGGGCTCGGCTTAAACTTGCAATCCTCCTGTCTTGTCCTCCTGAGTCCAACAGGCATGTGCCACTATATCTAATCTTGAAATTAGAATTCAAGTTAATGTGCTCTCTGAACTAGGGGAAGACTTCTGGCTCTGATGGCATAATCCCTTAGCCAGATGGTATCATTTATTTTTCTGTTTCTCCATTAGTCATTTAGTGCTACCCCACTCCATGGGGAGTTATGGAGTGTGAAGTACTTTGAAAATGTTGTGCATGGATAGAATGTCAGAACCTTCAATAATTTAAGGTGACTGAAACAAAATACACTCGGAACCTTACTCTGGGTTTTTTTGTTTGTTTTTTCTGCCTCCCTACAAGTGAGGCATTAGAAATTTATAGTTTGAGAATACAATTGCCCCTTGTTTTCTGTCTTATAAAACACAGCTGATATTTAATACAATCCAACAACTTCAGACTGGGTTGAATAAAAATTTATTATTGCCTAAATTCCAAGTGGAATTAAACATAACCACGAAGATTCCTAACATTTTCCTTACATTTAAAGAAAATCACTTTTTTTAAAAAAATACTGTCTAATAGAATTTTGTTGCTCTCATTGGAATAAACTCATTTGGCTAACTACTTGCTATTCAAAAGTGTACAGTTGTGTTCATGTTAGTAGCAGCTAAAGAATTCAATATTTTTCTCTTTTTTGATCTGATATGGCTTCATTTGAACTTTCTCAGATTGTACATTCTGCTAATTGATTATTCATAACAAATTACAAATAAAAAGCTCCTAAAAAGAAAGAAATCTGGTTTTCTTTTAATGGTGCCATAATTCCTTATAATGCTTTTGTCCCCTAGGTTGTAGTGACTTGGACATAGACTTCTCACCCTATGTCCAAAGTTAAGAGTAATGTCAATATGTTTGTGTTTATATAACGGATAGTACACATTTTGACTATACTGCTTTTTTCTTTTTTTTTTTTTTTTGTACTGGCAGGGGTGCTTTGCAACTGAGCTACATCTCCAGATCTTTTTTTATTTTTATTTTTATTTTAAAGAGAGAGTGAGAGAGAGAGAGAATTTTTAATATTTATTTTTTAGTTCTCGGCGGACACAACATCTTTGTTGGTATGTGGGGCTGAGGATCGAACCCGGGCCGCACGCATGCCAGGCGAGCGCGCTTCCACTTGAGCCACATCCCCAGCCTCTCTCTTTATTTTTTATTTTGAGACAGGTGTCTCACACCAAGTTGCCACACTAAGGCAGGGCCTCACTAAGTTTCTGAGGCTGGCCTTGAACTTTGATCTTCCTGCTTCAACCTCCTAGACACTGGGATTACAGGAGTGTGCCACCACACCAGTAGGGTACTTATTTCAAAGGTAATCTACAGGTTTTCTACACTAAAAGAGATACATATCCATTTGTATTTTGTATTTCCAGCATTAGTGTGATTATTATAAAAGTTTCTAGTATCTCATACTAGTGCTATTTGTTATTCATTTCACTGATCCCTGAAAGCTCCTAGATAGCCAGTAGAGAAAAAAACTAAGGGTTAGCAAGAAGCTACATGGAGAATAGCTGTATGTATCACTCAATTAGATTACAGACTCCTTACTTTCTTGGACTCCTGAGATCCTTTTGTATTGGATGATGTCATTTCACTAGAGTCTGATACTTCAACTTGCTGGGTGATAAAGGTTTGATCTTGAAGTTTACTTTCATCCCTGCAATAATGACAAAATAATGAGTACTGCCAATATCCATACCTGGAATGTGGTTCAGAACAGCAACTTCATCATACTATTCTCACTCAACTTGAGTAATATCAAATGCCCGCAAGAGCCATTGTGATCTGGCTCACATTTGAGACATTGTCAGGAGAGATCTTACCCAAATCCTTTTAATTCTCTACTGTCAGAAACAAAGAAATCTGGAACTGAAGTCCTAGAACACTGGTTGTATTTCCTGTGGTGAGTAAAATTCAACAAACAATGAGACAGTATCTCCTTGTATCCTTATATTTCAACTATTAAGAGACAAGTGAAATACCTCAGTTGGATGGGCTTCTTATTTTCAAAATGAATTTTTACACACATAAAATGTGTTAGGCAAACTAATATATTTGTTTGAAAGTTGAGGTGAATTTGAGAAATGGAAATATTTATGAAGATGATCATAATGAAGGTACTCATACAAGAGTTTGTTTGGGGAGGGGAACAGTGGGAAATTGAACCTAGGGCTTCATGCATACTAGGCAAGTGCTCTACCACTGAAACTATACCCCAGCCCTATACAACAGCTAATAGTGGAAAAGGGCAAGTTTGAACCAGAGTACCAACAAAAATGTCCAGAAAAATTCCCTTCTCACAGAGAGAAACTCAGACCATAGAAAAATTATTCAGTGGGGAGATAGGCCCAGTAAGAAATTTTTTTTCTTTAAATTTTGGAAAGTTTTAAATTTTGAGTTTTAGAACAGGAATAAATATATCACAAATTTTCTAATTTAAGTGAGTTTAATAGAGACAAAAAGGATAGTACTTTGATATCTCAACAGATACATACCTCATTCCTAAAACTTGTTTTCAATTAGATGCCTTTGAAAGCAGCATAAAACACTGAAAATCTGACTAAATAGTCTAATGGTAATATGTGAAAGAATACTTTAGACACTAAAGTATCTAAAGACCTAAGTAGTTACTAATGCATTGATTTATTGTAAGCCAGTTATTGATTATCCCCACTAAGATCAATCACAAATAAATGTACTGTACTGTTGGATTCACAACCATGTACTACTATCAACTATGAACTCTTAACCAACTTCATAATCATTCCACTTGCCTTGGTAGACCTTTTATCACCTAACTACTCCTCCATCTGGTTTGAGTTTTCTCAATCTCTTCAACATTTCACCATCTATTCTTGTCTTATTGTTCTTTTATTTAATGCTGGCATGAAGTTTCAACAGGCTTAAACTTACTTCCACTTGTCAGGTTCAAGTTCATTGCTTGGGTTTGAACTCTTTTACTCTAATTCCTTTGTTTCTCCAAGGCTGAAAATAACATATAGTATGGAACTAGAGGCCTAGATCTCTAGCTATATTTCTTGAATAGGAAAAAGTTAACTTAGCTGAGTAAAGTGTTGCACCTATAATTCTAGAGGCTCAGGAGGCTGAGACAGGAGGAGTGCAAGTTCAAGGCCAGCCTTAGCAAACTAGTGAGGCCCTAAGCAATTTAGTGATACCCTGTCTCAAAATAAATAAATAAAAACAAAGGGCTGGGGAGGGTCTGTGACTCAATTGTAAACACCCCTGGGTTCAATCCTTGGTTACCCACCCCCCCCCAAAAAATAAAAATCAGCTCAAGCCTTTATTCTCCCATATAGAGCATAAAGTCATTGAGATTAGGTGTGATGTCCTTACCTGTTCAACACTATATCCTCAATAAATAGCATGTACTCAATATGTATAAGTTAGGTGAATTAAGAGATAGATTAAATAAAATTTAAAACTATCTCAAACTGGCTTTCTGGTTTTGTTTTGTTTTGTTTTTGTGGTACTGAGGATTGAACCCAATACCACAAAAACAGTGGAGAAACAATCATCAAAAGGAATTATTGGAGGGGCTTGGGTATGTGGCTTAGTGGTAGAGCACTTGCCTCACATGTGTGAGGTACTGGGTTCAATCCTCAGCACCACATAAAAATAAAAAAACAAAATAAAGGTATTGTGTCCATCTACAACTAAAAAAAATACATAAAAAAGGGATTATTGGAATACCTGTGGATTTCTGTTTTCCCTTCTATATCTCTTATATTAGACAGTCCCTTGATGAATAATCACCTTTAAATTATTTACTTATTTTTAAAAACCAATAAAACCTAAACAGTTTCTATGCTTTTCTGAAGATGATATACATTTAGTTGAGCAATGTAACTTAGCAAGCATTATGGTAAACATCATCCTAAATATCTAAGATAATTTTCCCCCTTTAATTCCAAGTCATCTTTTGTCTTCATGTCTCCTCACTCCTATTCCTTATCTCTTGGAGTTACAGTAGCTAAGCAGTAGAATCCTTTTAGCCCTTTTAGTTTTTCTAGTCCTTATTTTTTTTTTTTTTTGGTACCTGGAATTGAACTCAAGAGCACTTAATTACTGAGTCCCAGCCCCAGCTCTTTTTTGTATTTTATTTAGAGACAGGCTCTCACTGAATTGCTTAGGGCCTTGCTAAATTGCTGAGGCTGGCTTTGAACTATCGATCATCCTCCCTCTGCCTCCTGAGTCACTGGGATTACAGGCATGCATCACTACACCCAGCTATGTATTCCTTTTAATTCTAAGAATAAATTCATTGTTCCTATGTGGTTTCTAAGTTCAATAACACTGGTATTTCACTGTAGAAGTAGGAAATTACCTAGGAACAAAACCATTCATTTTTGCAAAGAGCAGTCTCAAGACTTTTTCCTTCTGCTCCCAGGTCAAATCTGCAATATCCACATTTCTTTCAGTACTTGTCCTAAAGAATTCAAAGGGAAAAAAAAGTGAAAAGGAAAAATGTAGTCAAAGTAAACATCTTTTCTTGTGAAAAAATATAAAGTATGGGGCTGAGTTCTTGGCTCAGCCATAGAGCACTCGCCTTAAGCACATGTGAGGCCCTGGGTTCAATCCTCAGCACCATATAAAAATAAATAAATGAAGGTATTGTGTCCAACTACAACTAAAAAATAAATTTAAAAAATATGTAAACGTAAGAAAAATTCCATACCATAACTGAATACTATATAATGACTATAAACTATATCCATTACAAAAAAAATCACAAAATTGAAAAGGTTATTAATATAGTAGACAACCCAAAATGTAGTCATTAAGATGAAAATGACAAGAACTATAAAATGAAAAAGATTTGTACTCAAACATTAAGCAAATAAGCAAAATAGAATGTTGTAATTTAGCATTATGTATTTATATATACTTCAAAGACAAAGGGAACAAGAAAAAAGTTGTTTGTTAGATTATTGATAGGTGTCTGAGAAAACAGAGTGACAAAAAGTAAATCTGGAAAATAACATGGAAATTAAATTATAATCTATTTTTCTTTACCTCTAAATAAGGTTGCAGCTAAGCTTTTCAGGCAGGTCTTCATCTACACTATAACTTTTCCAGTCTACTTGCTATTTGTAAAAGCTAATGTGTATTTATGTTGTATAATTCAGGAAATATTTAAGTCTGTTGTTGTTGTTGTTTTTCCTTTTTTTTTTTTTTTTTGTTCTGCAGTATTAGGGATTGAACCCAGGGGTGCCTATCTCTAGTTATACCTCCATCCCTTTTTATTTTTTTATCTTGAGCTAAAAAGTTTTTAAATTTATTTTTGTGCTGGGGATTGAACCCAGAGATGGTTTACCAGTGAGCTACATTCCCAGCCCTTTTGATTTTTTGTTTTGAGACAGGGTCTCACTAAATTGCTTAGGGCTGCTGGGCACACACCTATAATTCCAGCAGCTCGGGAGACTGAGTCAGGAAGATCAAGAGTTCAAAGCCAGCCTCAGCAACAGCAAGGTGCTTAGCAACTCAGTGAGACCCTGTCTCTAAATAAAAATACAAAAATTAGGGCTGGGGTTGTGGCTCAGGGTTTGAGTGTCCCTGAATTCAATTCCCAGTACCAAAAAAAAAAAAAATTGCTTAAGGACTCAGTTACTGAGGCTAGCCTTAAAAGCCTCAGCTTCCCTAGCTGCTGAGATTACAGTATGCATCACCACACCCAGCTAAAAAATTTTTTATCTTTTTTTATTTTAGGGTCTCACTAAGTTGTCCAGGCTAGCCTTGAACTTGCAGTATTCCTACCTTACTCTCTCAAATAGATGGATTTATAGGTTTGCATGAGAGCAAAACCTGAAACTTTAGTGGGTTTTTTTAATATTTATTTTTCAGTTTTCGGCAGATACAACATCTTTGTTTGTATGTGGTGCTGAGGATCGAACCCAGGCCACACGCATGCCAGGCGAGCGCACTACCACTCGAGCCACATCCCCAGCCCCTAGGGGTTTTTTTAATATAAATTTTTTTTAGTGTAGACGAACACAATGTCTTTATTTTATTTATCTATTTTTATGCAATGCTAAAGATCAAACCCAGAGCCTCCCTCATGCTAGGCAAGTGCTTTACCATTGAACTACACCCACAGCCCTGAAAGTTTTAGGTTTTACCTTCTGATTACCATATACTTCAGTTGTCCTTCCAATCTGCCTCTTAAATAGATGCTGCAGATTGAAGCCAGGGCCTTGAACATGTTCTGTACATGCTTTACCACTGAGCTACACTTCCAGCCCCCTGATGATGCAATATTTTAAACACCACTTCAGCCATGCTGGTAGAGGTGATAAGTTGCCCAGTAGCAAAAATATTACACAGAAGGCAGAAAAGGAAAAGCACAGTTTCTGCAATAACAACATAGGGAATCCTCTGAAATTTTATAACAATATACAGTAGAAAAAAGGTGTATGGGAAACTTCCTTATGTAGAGATTCAAGTTACTTATTAAATAAAAAAGGAACAATTATAGTCAATTGCTTTGTAATAAAAGTGGCATTCTGAATGTGACAATAAGATAACACATTATAATATTAGTATATATGATTTTTTTAAAGTCTCATCATCTTTTCAGAACCTTCCAGAGGCCACCGGCACATCCAATCTTCCCAATAGCTACAAAATTCAAAAACACCTACAAATTAGTCACTGGCTGGGTATGGTGGTACACATCTGTAATCCCAGCTACTGGGGAGACTGTAGCAGAAGGATCACAAGTTTGAAGATAGCATGGGCTGCCTATAATCTCAGCAACTACGGAAGCTAAGGCAGGAAGACAGCAAGTTTGAGGCCAGCCTTAGCAACTGAGGCAGGCTCTAAGCAACTTAGTGAGACCCTGTCTTGAAAAATAAATAAATAAATAGATAAATAAAAAGGGCTGGGGATATAGCTTGGTTTAAAGCACCCCTGGATTCAATCTCCAGTACCAAAAAATAAAAATAAAAATTTATATGGTTAGATATTATTGTTTTCATCTCAAGATAGCAAAGGAAGCAGTACAAAATATCTGAGAAACCTATGCTTATCAAAAATGTTTAACTTGAATCTAATGAAGCCTTTATAATTAATTTCCAATTTTAACAATATAAGAGTCCAGATACAGTGGTGCACACCTATAATCCCAGAAGCTCAGGAGCCTGAGGCAGGAGGATTTCAAGTTCAATGACACCATAAGCAATGGCAAGGCGCTAAGCAACTCAGTGAGACCCGGTCTCTAAATAAAATATAAAATAGGGCTGGGGATGTGGCTTAGTGGCCAGAGTGCCCCTAAATTCAATCCCCAGAACACCCCCCACCAAAAAAAAAGAAAGAAAGAAAAATAGGGTACCTACTAAGAATACATACTAAACTCCACATACTCTGCTGAGTAAGGATTGCAAAGGTAAATCAATTCCCAACTCAAGTAACTTGCTGAGAAATCTATTCTAATTGATTATCAAACTGAACTTTTCTGAGTTCTTATTTCATCAAAGGGCAAAAAAATGACTGTACAAAAGATAATAAAAAGTGTTAATCAGTACCAGTTTTCAGCCTCCATAAGATCCTGATTCACACTATTGGTGCTGTGTTCTCTGCCATCAAATGTCCTGATTAGAGGATATTCTGTTTTTCCTGCATATGCCTTTCTCATTTTTACATTGAAAGCATCTTGTGCTATCTGCTTATAATGCTTTCTGCTGAGTAAGATCTGTTGCTTCACTTGGTGTAGAGCATCTAAAAAGAATCTTTCCACTTCTGTTCTCTCATCCAGGATGTTCTTGGCCAGCTTCTTCACACGATTCATTTCCTTGTCTTTCAGCTGAAGAAGGTGTTGCAGCTTGTCAATTTCCCCCCGACCTGCTTGGTTCTCTATAATTGCCTGTTGCTGCAGTTTTGAAACTTCAGTCTCAAACTCTTTGGTCATAAAACTCAAAGCCTTCTCCAAGTTTACCACCTTCTTTCGAAGAACTTGGATTTGTGTTCTCTGCTGGGTAAGTTGCAAAATCTTTTCCTTAATCAATAGATCATTGATCTCCTAAAAACAGATGAAAGAAGGGAGAGTTCTTTAATCATTTCAAACTAATTTCCATTATTTCATGATATTTGAGTTTAATACAAGGGTAAGAAGGATTATTTTAATATTTATGTGTAAAGAAAGTAACAAACACCCTAAGGCCCTTGTCTGGAAATGTGATTTTACTGATTATGAAGTTTCAAACTTCCTCTAAATTTCTGAAAGGTTAAATATTTTATATTATCTAAATCAATAAGGGGCTGAGGTTGTGGCTCAGAGGTAGAGCACTTGCCTATCATGCATGAGGCACTGGGTTCAATCCTCAGCACCACATAAAAATAAACAAAGATACTGTGTCCACCTATAACTAAAAAATAAATTAAAAAAAATAAAATCAATAAAAAATCCATAAAACTAATGGCTATGTAATGGAAATTGTGGTAGTCTCCTAGGTGCCTATTCTGGTATTCATTTTCCATTTTTCTTTCCTCCTTAATAATAAAACCCCAATTTTATTAAGGAAAGAAGTAGAGCCAGCTGAAAATCCAAGCCTTCCTGTAGTTCAGCATATTGAAATTCTGGTCAATGAGATATAAGTGGAAATACGTGTGAGATTTCCAGGAAGACCTCTAAATCTAAAAGGGTACTTTTTTTCTTGTTGTCCTTCCCCTTCCTTCTGTTTAGAATAATGGTTAGAGCTCCAGCAGCCACCTTGGCCATGAGTTAACTTTGAGGCTATAAGCCACATGTTGCAGAGAAGAGTTAAAGAAGCTAAATATCTTTTGATTTTGTGGCACTACCATTCCTGTTCTGGATTGCTTACCACCAGGGGTAAGAACAAACCCTCATATTGTGATGCCACAGATGTCGTGTCTGTTACAGTCAAACTTATTCTTAGGTGATTCAGGAACCAACTATACTCAAAGGAAAATGAATATTCTAAAGGTAGTAGGCAATAAGAATCATATTTATGTTTCTGATAAGAGTCATATTTATAAAAAGTCAAGTATAATGCTTCTTATAAATTATTCTGTAGTGGCACCCCCTTTCTCCACAGAAAAGTCTTACTGGGCTTCTCCAGAAATCTTCACAATGGCTGATTTTAGAACTGTCAACAAAAGAGTCTATACAAAAGAGTTCAATTTAGATAAACATCCTATTTTCATGTATCCCTATCTTACTTGGCCACTGACAGGGAAGAAATCAACACTCCAGGTGCTGGACACCCCATTACTAGTTTTTCACAAACATGTATCCAGTATAGTAGTTTATAGAAATGTGCAAAAAAGGCCTCTGGCCTTGAGCTGGGCTTCACAGAGATGTCTATATTCCTAATATAAGAGAAGATACTGGGCACAAGGCACTGGGTTCGATCCTCAGAACCACATAAATGTAAAATGGAGATGTTGTATCCACCTAAAACTTAAGAATAAATTTTTTTAAAAAATAAGAGAAGATACCAATTGGGATCCATGGTAACAGCTGGAAGGGGAAGGAAAGAAAGGGGAGAAAAAGCTCTCCCCTTCTCGGAGGTTGTCCTTGAAGAGTTAACTTGCCCAAAACAGAGAAAGGAAAAGCTGCTTTTATATAAACCTCTGCAGACTGTGAACTTTTGAGCCTCTCCCCTTATATGCTGGTTATAAGATTCTGAAACTACCTGAACTTGGGGTGAAAGGGGATTAATTGATTACAGCAAAAGCTGTGCCCTCTGAACCTGGCTGCAGCCAAATAAAACTGTTTCTTGCTATCTTCGATGCCTTGCCATGTCTGTCCCTTCAACAATTCACTAATTCATCTTTTCAGATAAGGAAACTGCAGCATCCAGACAGAAAAAAAATGGTCCTATTGTCCTTCTGTATCCTTAAATTAGTCAATTCTTGATATTCATCATCTCAATCATTAAAAAAAAACTAGGAAACAGTGTAAATGAGAGTGGGAACCTTTTGATGTAAAAGGAAAGTATGATTCTCTTGCAACTTCTCAGAGTTTTTTTGTAGAGCATCAGCTTCCTTCAGGTGGTATGTGAGAGCTTTCTGGAGATAAATATTTTCTTTAAAAACATTTCTTCCAGCAGCATTCAATTGCCTAAAAGAGATATAAGATTACAAAATATAGACCCAAGTTTTCGATATTATCAAATGAGAACAATGATTGTTTTATTCTCTAACATTAATAATGACAATCACTAGGCTGGAAATGTAGTTCAGTAGTAGTGCACTTGCCTAGCAGCTTATGATAGGTACTCAATAGGTAGGTGGGAAACTTGTTACAAAGTTCTCACCCTATAGGAAAGTGCAAAGTGATGTGTTTGTGTTACTTTCAGTTGTGAAAGTAACTCTCCTATCCAGATGACAACTGAAGAACTCCAAAACAGCAGAGGTACAAAATGAAATCATCCCAGGTTCCTGAATCACCACTGGAGAAGAGTTGCCCAATCCACATTGGATTGTTACAGAAACAAGAAATAAACCATTGAGACCTGGGAGTTCAATAGTTAACATAAGATACCTTAGTGTTGCTCCCACTAATACATTTCATAACAATCCTGCAAATCTACTATTATTAGCCCTATTTTTATTTATCTATTTATTTATTTATTTTTATTTTTTGGTATTGGGGATTTAACCTAGGATGCTTAACCATTGAGCCACATCCCCAGCCCCTTTTTGGTTTTTGAGAAGGGGGTCTCACTAAGTTGCTTAAGGCCTTACTAAGTGCTGAAGCTGGCTTTGAACTATGGATCCTCTTGCCTCAAGCTCATAAGTCACAAGAATTACAAATGTGCACCACAACACCCAGCTATATTAACCCCATTTTTAGATGAAGAAAAATTTCAAGAAAGTTAAACAGCTGAGCACAGTGGCATACTCCTGTAATCCCAGCAGCTGGGAAGGCTGAGACAGGAGTATCATGAGTTCAAAGCCAGCCTCAGCAAAAGCCAGGCTCTAAGCAACTCAGTGAGACCCTGTCTCTAAATAAAATACAAAATAGGGATGGGGATGTGGCTTAGTGGTTGAGTGTCCCTGAGTTCAATCGGCTACCAAAAAAAGTATACATGTTGAGAACCAAAGTCTAACTTCAAGGCCCAGATTCTCTCTACCACACCATGCTGTTACAGAATGGTTAGAGGGAAAGGAGTAGAGAACAGTTAGGGAGAATAGACCAGAACATTTGAAGAAGGCAAGCCAGAAGAGGAGGTGGAAGACAAGAAGATAAAAAGAAGTCAGGTGCAGTGGTACATGCCTATAAACCCAGACATTTGGGAAAGTGAGGCAAGAAGATCACAAATTAAAGGTCAGTCTTGGCAACTTAGCAAAACACTATCTCAAAATGAAATAAAGATGGCTAGGGATATAGCTCAGTGATTTCCTAGCAAGTGTGAGGCCCTATGTTCAAACACCAGTATTGTCAAAAAAAAAAAAAAAAAAAAAGGTCTGGGTATATGGCTCAGTATTAGAGCACTTGCCTAGCATGCACAAGGCCCTGGGCTTGATTCCCAAACTGCCACCAAAAGAAAGAAAGTAGACTAGCAAAAAAGTAAGAGAGGCTTATTTGAAAAAAGAGGCAGTGATCTCTTCTTACGTCACAGCTTCATGGTGGGCTCTCTCTGCCAGCATTACTATCTTCTTTTCAGCCTCTTTTTCTAGTCGGTGCTAAAAAAAGAAAATGGTCAGTTTAAAATAGTTATATCTTCAACAACAGTTCTAAGAGATTAATGATTATTATTTACTTTTCACAATAACACTATGAAATAGATAATATTATTATCCCCAGAAACAATGATCTAGGAAAAGAGAAATAAATGGCTTTCCCAAAATTACATTGTCAGGAAGTGGCAGAGCAAAGATTCATACATAGGCAATCTGATGTTATATAGCCTCCCTAGTGAGTAGTCAAATAAATAAGAGAATAAATAGGCTGTGATAAGAGCTATACATGAAATACATGGGAGTAATAAGGGAAGCAGTAACTGGGGGAGGTCATTTTAGGCTGGAGTATAGGAAATCTCTGAGGAAATGACATTTGAGCTCTAGAGAATGAGCCATAGCTTAAAGAAGAACATCTCAGGAAGAGGCAGTAGTCAAGCACAAAAACATGGAAGTAGGCAGAACTTTGTGGTTCAAGAAACAGAAAGGAACTAGTATGGCAGTACGTAAAAACGTGGATGTGTAACCGATGTGATTCTGCAATCTGTATACGGGGTAAAAATGGGAGTTCATAACCCACTTGAATCAAATGTATGAAATATGATATGTCAAGAGCTTTGTAATGTTTTGAACATCTAATAAAAAAATAAATAAATCAAAAGAAACACAAAGGAATAAATGGGAAAACAAAATCAAATCAAACAACAATGATCTGGGGAAATCATATACAAACAGGTGGAGCGTGCAAAGCAGGAGATGAATGACAGACCTATTGGAAAGCCTAATGCCTTCTGAAGCAGCAGCTCTGAAATTCAAACCAGTAGAGAAACACCCATGAAATCTGTAACAACAGGGCGAGGCAGATACTGCTGAGGATGACCAGTTAAACTTAATTCCCATCTTCCTTTTTCCTTCCTAATGCTACTAGTGGCCAAAAAAACAAAACATTCACTTTCACAGCAACCTTTAGAACATGGTTCTGGCCAATGAAATCTAAGAAGAAATCTGCTAAAAGCTCTAGGAAATGTATTATGGCTTCCAGATAAAAGGGGCAGATACATCTGGAGGGTCCCCTCATTCTTGCCTTAAACACAAAGAAAGATTGAAGCTATTGTCATCATGTTGCAATCATGAGGGAAAGACCAGGAGCCATCTACTCTCAGACAGAATAATCCTATTTATATAAGCACATTACTCAGGTATTCTGTAAACTGACCAAGTACTTCTAAAGAGATCAGATTGCGGTGGAGTAGAAGGGAAATGCAACTGAGAGCATCCTATTCCTGGCCATTCCAGGAAAAGTCTCAGAGGGAAAGCACCAGAGTGCTGCTCCCATCTTACTCCCTTTAGGTAACTCCATACTCAAACTAGAAACCTAGAGCCACTGTGTGTGTGTGGTATTGGGGATGGAAGCCAGAGTCTCACACATACTAAGCACACAATCTACCACTGAACTAACCCTAACCACTTTTCAAAGTAATTCCTTTTACCTAAACTTCATGAATACTTATTTGCCCCACCCTCAACTCCCTACTTCCCTATCAATTTCTGAATCTACCTCAATTATTTCCTAAGAATGAAAAATTAAAGAAACAATTAAAAGAATAAATTAAAACAAAATTTATTAATTTATTTTTATATTTATTGAAAACAAAAACAAACCCCCCTCCCCAAAAAACAAAAGTGTTCCAACGTACTTCCTATAATTTGGAGAATTAACTTCAGAGACCCAGAGAAACCAGGAAGTTTGTGATGTGCTAAGAAACATTTTTGAGCCCCCTTTTATTAACATCCTTGGCTCCACTAGACTAGGCAAACATTTTCATGCTCATACTAGAGTGATTTCTCCAATTCCCTCTCCCCTATATAGGGACAGAGGTAGCTTTAATTGTACCAGGGGAATACCAAGCTGAGACTTGAAGCCTTGATAAAATGACAATCCTTCTTGAGAACAACTTAAGTGTCTATCAATTGAATGAAATTCTTTGTGTGCTGAAAATACAACATAAATAAAACCAAATGAGCTGGGTGAAATGGAGATCATTATGCTTAGGGAAGTTTGCCAGGCCCAGAAAGACAAGTAATGTTAAGATCTCATTCCTATGTGGAATCTAAAACAGTTGGGCTGGGGATGTGGCTCAAGCAGTAGTGTGCTCGCCTGGCATGCGTGCAGCCCAGGTTCCATCCTCAGCACCACATACAAACAAAGATGTTGTGTCCACCGAAAGCTAAAAAATAAATATTAAAATTCTCTCTCTCTCTCTTAAAAAAAATAAATAAAACAGTTGATCTCAGAAATTGAGAGTAAAATAGTGGCTACTTCAGGCCAGGGAGACTGGTGTGGGTGATGGAGAAGGGTTGATCAGTGAGTGCTAAGTTATAGTTAGGAGCAAGAAGATGGTGGGGTGCTATTACACAGTAAAATAACTATAAATAACAACAATATACTGTAAGTTTCAAAAAACAGAAGATTCTGTGAAAGTTTTCCTCATAAACAAATGTAAATGAGTGAGGCAACAGGTTATTGTTTAACCTGATTTAAACATGTATACATGTATTGAAACATTATATGGTACTCCATTAATATGTACAATTTTGTTTTTATTTATCAGTTAAAATAAATTTTAAAAATTAAGAAAATGAATGAAAGGGGAGAAAGGACTGGAACATTGAGATTTCTATATTAAAAAGTTTTGTTTTCTCTTATTTTCATCTGTTATGAATTGATAATAATCTAATAAAATGCCAAATGGAAGGTTGGTATATGTCAGAATGCATGTATATACACTTATGTTGTTCTGGTAAACAAAACTTTTCTTAATTAACCTTAACATTCTTACCTTTTCTTCAAAAAATCTGCTCTCCAATCTGCTAAGAGACTCCTGATGTTTCTTCTCTGTATTTCTTAAATTTTCCTTCAGCTAAAATTTAAAAAACAAAAACTGGTCAATAGGAAATGGGGTTGATAGGGACATATTCCTAGAACATTCCCAATATAGAAACATTTCTGATAAACATTAATTTTCCTAGTGCTGAACACAAAAATTTAAGTTTCCTGGCCCCTGAATACCATATTTCCCTCAATCTTCTACAGATTTATAAGAATAGTATTGAGGTGTTTTTTTGGATTTTTTGTTTTATATTTTTTGTTATCTATCTATCTATATCTATCTATCTATCTCTATATATATATATTCTTTTTTTTGTCAGTGGACCTTTATTTATTTATATTCAGTGTTGAGAATCAAACCCAGTGCCTCACACTTTTAAGCAAGTGCTCCATCATTGAGCCACAACCCCAGCCCCAATATTGAGTTTTTAAAAGACTTTCATGATCAATAGTTCTCAGGGCATTCAGATAAGTTGTTCTCATCATATTTTCCAAATATCATTTCAAATGTGGAATCATAAAATTTTGGAATTGGAGGGATGTTCCCAGGCCAGAGTAAACTGTGGCCCTGAACCTGGCCTGGCTACTGTACCTGTAGGCTGCTGCCACTGAAGCAGGTTGCACAGTGGGGAAATTAAAAACAAAAGAAAATAATTGGAAGTATGGTAGGAGTCAAACTATATAATTCTCCCACCTAATATAGGAATCCTTTCTGAGAAAAATGTTTTGAGACAGAAATATCACTAATTCAAGTCTCATTAATATATCAGACTCTTAAATAGTTCCCATTTAAAAAAAAATCTTCCTAATATCAATCTAAAAAATATCTCCCCATGATTCCCATGGGTGGATACTACTTCTATTATTAAAATGATATAGAATAAAAAAGGCTATAAAATTATTTTAAGTAAAGAAATATGAACTAATTTAGAATGATGATCCTGAAGTCTATATTACTGGAAATAATAAGTCTGACTGAACATGGTGGTACATACCTGGAATCCCAGCATTTCAGAGGCTGAGGCAGGAGGATGGTATGTTTCAGGCCAACCTGGGCAACTTAGTAAAACCCTGTCTCAAATTTTAAAATTTTAAAAATTTAAAATGGCTGGAAATGTAGCTTGAGGTAGAGTACCCCCAGGTTCAAATCCCGGTACCAGCAAAAAATAAATAATAAAAATAAGATTGAGGGGCTGGGGATATAGCTCAGTTGGTAGAGGGCTTGCCTCATATGCACAAGCCCCTGGGTTCAATCCCCAGCACCACATAACGCAATAAATAAATAAATAAATAAATAAATAAATAAATAAAATAGGCATCTGGCATACTTTAACATTCATACCACAAAAAAGGCAATAAAGGCCTGGAGCTGTGGCTCAGCAGTAGCGCACTTGACTGATATATGTGAGGCACTGGGTTCGATTCTCAGCACATGTATAAATAAATAAAATAAAGGTCTATCAACAACTAAGAAAAAAAATTAAAGAAAAAGAAAGGAGGGTTGGGGTTGTGACTCAGTGGTAGAGCACTCACCCTCATGTGTGAAGCACTGGGGGTTCCAACCTCAGCACCACATAAAAATAAATAAAAAAGATATTGTGTCCATCTACAACTAAAAAATAAAAAATAAAAAAAAAGAAAGGCAATAGAGTCAAGAGCTTCCTCTCTCACCAGCTGTTTGACATTTGACGTGGTCTCAAGTTGCCAGGATAAAAAGAGGATAGTAATAGTACCAACCTCATAGGGGTTGGTAAGGATTCAGTAATAAATAATGCATGTAAAGTACTTAGCATAGTATCTGTTTAATATATAAATTAGTGAATATCATGTCTAAAACTGTCCTTCCTATATGGAACAATTTTTCTTTGTGTAATCTCTGTTCTGCTCACTAAATCTCCATTTTATATGATCTCTTTGAGATTTTTTTTTTAAATGAGCACCATTTTATTTATTTTTGGAGGTACCAGGGGTTGAACTCAGGGGTACTCGCCCACTGAGCCACAGCCCTATTTTGTATTTTATTTAGAGACAGAATTCTCACCGAGTTGCTAAGCACTTCACCTTTGCTGAGGCTGGCTTTGAACTCGCAATCCTCTTGTCTCAGCCTCCCAAGCCACTGGCATGTGCCCAGCAGATGTTATTCTTTCTTCCTAAAATTTAATACACATTTTTAAATGGCCACATATGGTCAGACTTTCAAACATAAGTCAATTTAGCTGAGTATGGTGGTGCATACCTGTAATCTGTGACTCAGGAGGCTGAGTTCCAGGTCAGCCTCAGCAACTGAGAAAGGCCCTAAGCAACTTGGTGAAACCCTGTCTCAAAATAAAAAAATGAAGATAACTGAGGGGCTGGAGTTGTGGCTCAGTGGTAGAACACGTGCCTAGCATGTGTGAGGCACTGGATTCCATCCTCAGCACCACATAAAAACAAATAAATAAAACAAAGGTATTGTGTCCATCCAACCAAAAAAAATTAAAAAACAAAAACAATGACTGAGGATGTAGGTCAGTGCTAAGGTTCCCTGAGTTTAACCTTCAATACTCCCCTCAAAATTAAGGTCAACTCATGAGTTTATAGAAATATCTTCTATTAAAAGAGTGTGGCGATAGCCCTTTCATATAGCATTAGACTTCTCCAAAAATCTATAATTAATAAATCTTTCAAGTGATTATCAGGCAATGTGCATCACAAATTTTTAGAAGTTCATGTTCTTTGTTTTTGGAGATGGGGTCTTACTATGTTGCCCAAACTGGAGGGCAGTGAATATTCACAGGCACAATCTCAGTACTTATCAGTACTTGCAACCTGTTGGTCCCATTTCCAGGTCACCATATTGATGTCAAACTTAGTGTGAACACCAAATAAGCATATTGCACTATAGCCTGGAACTCCTGGACTCAAGCAATCCTCCTGCCTCAATCCTAAGAAGTATCCTAAAAACTAATTAAAGATATAGTTGTAGTTGGACACAACACCTTTATTTATTTATTTTTATGTGGTGCTGAGGATTGAACCCAGGGCCTCACACACACTAGGCAAGCGCTCTACCGATGAGCCACAACCCCACCCAGATATAGAAATTTCTTTATGCCTTAGATGTACATCATACTTTATAATAGTGAGAAATTAGAAAAAAAAGTCCAAATACCCTACAGAAAAGGAACTAATAAATTCATGTCAATCCAATGTAATCCCATGCATTTATTCAAAAGATTTTATAGAAAAATACCACAGCATTGAAATATGTTCATAATATATAATGTGAAAAATTAGGTTAACAACTTGTACAACATCACTTTACTTCTAAAAAAAAAACAGCATACATTTTAAAATATATTTCAACATAGAATAACAAAGGAAAGACTACACCAAAATATTAACAATGGTTATCTCTAGGTTGTATAATTGTGGGGGCTGGAGTTATTTTTATTTTCTTCTTTTTTTATTCTCTAATTTGCTAAAATGAACATTATCAAAAGTAACAAAAATAATAACTACAATCTCCAATATATGTTTCTTCTGTTAGGCAGATAGAAATCCACTTTTTTCTTTAAGAATGTATGCCTTGAATACTTTTTGATACTCCAAATATAATTAGTCTCTTTTCAAGTTGTACAACAAATTCTATATAAACAGTAAAATGTCCCTAATGTATACCTCCAATTTGAGGTTCATAGGCCCCTACGCCTGTCTCATTTATTCCACATTTGGAATTCCACAGAATCATCTTATTTTTCCCATAAACTTGTAACTTTGAATTTGAAGTCCTCAATAGTCCTCTTTGAAAGGTCTGAAATCTATTCTTCCAGTAGGTGGCAACGTTGGTCTTTTCAAAAAATCACCATGACCAATTAGAATGTTAACCCATTTTGATTCAAGATATACATCTAGACATGGGTTGGTTATGTTGAGAGTTTCTCAAAATTTAACTATATTGCTTCAATTTGCAGCATTTTTATATAAAACAAAACTTTATATTCCGTCTAGAAAATCTTGATATTCCTTTAATCATGGTTGTTTTGGGGTGTTCGTAGGATTACCAAAAGAAAAACAAAATATTTTGAGATTTGACAATTATGGAAAACCTAAGTAATGAGGATTAGACCCCATGGGGGTCTCCTGAGATATCGGAAGCACTGTCCTCTGCTGCAGGTCGATGCTTCTCCAGTTTAGCAATCAATTCTTTCGCAGGATTGAAGACACCGTTGGTCTGCTGGTCACAGACGTAACAGCGCGGGGTGGTGCGATAATGCTGTAGTGCACAGTTTTCGCAGAAATAATGCCTGCATTTGGTAACGACTGGGTTCTGGAATGTCTGACGACAGATGAAACACTTAAATGGAATTTCCTCATCATCGCTTCCCACTTCATAATTTTCTTCTTCATAATCACCGTATCGACCCTCATCAAGCTCACGTTCTATCTGCCAACCGTGCTTGTAATCTGAACGGTCATGGAGGAATTTGCAGCTGTCTCCGAAGCCGCAGAAGCCAGTCTCCTTGTAGTCCTTACAGATGTCGGGCTGGTAATCCCAGCGCACGGTGGCTCGAAGATGCTCAGGGGCTCGGATGGGGCCCTTCCTCACCATCCCGGAGGAGGCATTGCCCATAGACGTGTCCTTGGGCTTTATGAATTTCTGGTAATTATTGATTCCCCGATAGATCTTGTCATCTTCTTTGCCCCTCAGTTCCTCCTGGATCTTCTGGCTGCGCTCAAAGATGGCTTGGGCGTCGCGCTCCTTCTCTGTGTCCAGCTCATAGACAGCCGTCGCCCCCATATCCTCTGGCCCCACAGGCTTAGCCGAGCGGGTGGACCTGTAGACCACGCCTAGACCCTCCTCCTCCTCCTCCTCCTCGCTACTGAAGTTGCCGTGGGCCGCCTTCTGTCTACCGCTGCCGCGGGTCTTCTGTATCATTGGATTGTGAATCGCCCGCTTCTTCTCTGGTCGAACCACAGAGCTGCCTTCGTCACTACTGCTACCGCTTTCCCCGGGCTCCGGGTCACACACCCGACGCTTTCTGCGGCCTGCAGCCCCTTTCCGTACGGGCTTTTTAAAGAGGAAGGGACACACCTGGTCTGTTGACTTTCCTGGAGAGACCCGCTCTGCCATCTTGGAGCCTCGCGCGCCTAAACGGCTGCGGCGCGCCGCGCTGGGTGGCGCGGGGCCTCACGTCACTGGGGCGGTGCGTTCGGCCGGAGGCGAAGGCGGGCACAGCCAGAGCGCAGGCGCAGACCGCCAGCGCCGGGTTCCGAAGACCCGCTCCGCCTTCAACAGGACTTTATTAAGCAATGCTGCGTTTCTTGGATTTCGCTGAACACTATAAAGACTACACTGTTCGTGCCTCATAGAATTTACAATATAGTAGGCGATATAAGACAAATAAATATAATTTCAAGATAGGTTGGGCTAAGTAATATAATGCCTTTTATAAAGGTACAGAGAATTCTCACGTTTTAACAGGACTTCTGGGAACGGTCTCATGGACAACATGCATTTGAGCCGAGACTTTGAAGACTAAGTAAAATTTAAAGGACAGAGATCCATCAGGAATGCATTCCAGATTTTAAAAACAGTGTGAGGGGCTGTGGCTCTGGCTCAGTGGTAGAGTGCTTGTCTAGCACGTGTGAGGCACTGGGTTCGATCCTCAGCACCACATAAAGTAAAACAAAGACTGTGTCCACCTTTAACAGTGTGAACAAGCAAGAGAGAAAATACTTAAGATATAAGTGAATATCCAGTTTGGGTGGATTAAAGGGAGGGAGGGTGTGTGTGTGTGTGTGTGTGTGTGTGTGTGTGTATGTGTATGTAGGGAAGAGTGGAAGTAGCAAAGAGATAATGATGTCCCTAAGTTGGTTTAGGGTCCTTAACTTTCACACTAAGGTATTTAGACAATATCCGTTTACTGTAAAGTGACACTAAAGACTATTCTGGTGATCAGAACCCCAGAACAATATTTTAATAACCTCAGCTGTGTATACCGTGGACAACAGTGGAGGTCTTAAGATGTGTGCACCATTTTTTGACATTCTTCCCTTCAAATAATGGAACCTAATTTGCCTCTCCTAGAATGAGGGTCAGACTTAGGGACTCATTTTAGAAACTTGCTACTTTTTTTCTAGAACTGGCATTTCCCTTCTTACTGAAGTCAGTCCAAAGGTTAACTGCTGATAATCATGGGAGGGTGTGTTGGCTGAGGTTTGGTTGAATTCACAAATCAATGCTTAGGGAAAAAACAAATAGCCTATGGAAACATTTGGCTTCCTCTTTTTCTCTCAAATAATCTCTAATTTGTCATGCGAGATAGGCATAAATTTGTTAAGGCTTTTGCAGATCTAAGCAGTTAATTCTAATCTCCAAGAAAGAAACTTACATCATCTAATTCTTTCTCCACTTGAACTTTTCTCTTCTGGAATTGTTTTATTGTTTTTAGCTCTGTCTGAATCATGCCAATTTCTATGGCTTTTTGATGGAACTGTCCCTCCAGCTCATTTATTTGTGTAGTATGCTTTTGTTCCTGTGTTCAAAAAAGAGGCAAATGAGTTAGGAAAAACAGACATTCCAAAGAGTTACAGTCTATTTGAAGCATTAAGCCACTACTATATCTTCTTTGAGGAAATGCCCCACTTTAATTTTTGTATGAAGTTTTAAATTTTGCATAAAATTTTAATTTCTGTAAAATAACTGCCTTGAATAAGAAAAAAATTATGAAAAATTTTCTATACAGGTTGGTCTTCTAGGAAAGAAAGAAAATGCAGATATTTATTTTAAAAAGGGCATAAGAAAATAAAAAACAAAAATAAAAACCTCCCAAAATTTAAAATTCAAAAGGGGCATAAGGAAACTAGGAATGTATCTCAGCTGTAGAGTACTTGCCTCCCATGCACGAGGCTGTAAATTTGATCTCAGCACTGGAAGTATAATATATCCCTAAATCTAAATTAAAATCAGTCAGCTAAGATTAAAAAACAAATTTAAAAAGAAAAAAATTAGTAAGTTAAGAATCAAAGGGAAGAAATAGGGATAGTTTTATATATATATATATATCCCTATCCCTAATAAAAGAAAACAGTAGAAGGAGAAAGCAGAATGGAAAGGAAGGAAGAAAAGGAGAAAGAGGAAGACAGGACAAGGAAAAAAATAAAGGAGGGAGAAAGAGGAAGAAAAAATGAGGAAAATGAACAAAAAAATATTAAAAGAAATGCAAATGGTCCTCAAACATTAAAAAAAAAAAATCAGCCAGGCACAGTAGTATATGCTTGTAATCCAGCTACTCTGGAGGCTTAGGCAAGAGAATCACAAGTTTGGGCTGGGGATGTGGCTCAAGCGGTAGCTTGCTCGCCTGGCATGCGTGTGTAAGGATACCGTTCCTCAGCACCACATACAAACAAAGATGTTGTGTCCGCCGAAAACTAAAAAATAAATACTAAAAGTCTCTCTCTCTTAAAAAAAAAAAAAAAACCACAAGTTCAAGGCCACCCTTTTTCAAAAAAAAAAAAATTAAAAGCGCTGGGGATGTAGCTTAATTGTAAAGCACCTGTAGGTTCAAATCCTCAAAATAAATAAATATATATATGTAAGTATGCATATACATGTACTTATGTGAAAAAATATATATGAAGAAATGCTCAAAACATCCCCCAAAAAGAGAAATATATAGTTTCTTTTTTATAAATATCTTTTTAGTTGTAGATGGACACAATATCTTTATTTTTATTTACTTATTTTTACGTGGTGCTGAGGATCGAACCCAGGGCCTCACGTGTGCAAGGCAAGTGCTCTACCACTGAGCTACAACCCCAGCCCCAATATATAGTTTCTTACCTATCACACTGGCAAAAATTTTGATATTAGATTCTATTGGTCAAGCTCTGAAGAAAGAGGAAATCTCATATATAGTGGCATTACAAAATAGTATAATACCTATACAGGGAAATTTTCTAATTTCTAGAAAATCAGATATTTTCTTTGACCTTGTAAAACTACTTCCAGGAGTCTATGCCAAAGATGCAGTAGCATGTGAAAAAAAAAATATGCTAGTCTTTACTAGAACACCATGGTATAATAGCAACCCAACTATCAAAAAGAGCACTTCTATGGACTGAATGTTTGTGTCCCCACCAAAATACCAATTCTGTAATCGCCAGTGTGATGGTATTTGGAGGCATGTGCTTTGGAAGGTAATTAGGTTTAGATGTGGAAAAGAAGGTGAAGCTTTCATGATAGAATCAGTGCATTTATTATTTGGGGGGAACTGGGGATTGAACCCAGGAGCCCTTTACCACTGAGCTATATCCCCAACCCTTTATCTATCTATCTATCTATCTATCTATCTATCTATCTATCTATCTATCTATCTATCTATCTATCTTTCAAGAGAGGTCTCGCTTAAGTGCCGAGGTTGGCCTCAAACATTCAATCCTCTTGCCTTAGCCTCCATAGTAGCTGGGATTACAGGTGTGTGCCACTAAACCCAGCGGGGTCAATCCCTTTATGAAGAGATAAAGCACCTAGAGCTAGCTTTCTTTCTATATGAAGAATACGGGGGAAAAAAAGGCAGTTGTCTGTGAATGGAGAGAAGGATCCTCACCAAGAATCTAACCATGTTGGCATTCTGACCTCAGACTTTAGGCCTCCCAAAATGTGACAAACAAATGTTAGTTGTTTAAGCTACTTAGGGAGACTCTGTCAAAAAAAAAAAAAAAAAAAAGGACTGGAGTTATATCTCAGTGGTAAAGTGCTTTTGGGTTCTAGCCCCAGCACAAAAACAAACAAACACAAAAGCAACTTCTGGACTAGGGGTGTACTCAGTCTATGGTATTCTGTCATAACAGTCCATACTGACCAAAACAAGGACCATTTTAGAAAACACTTCATATTACCATGACCTCCAAAAAATACTATTGAGTAATCTGGACGTGGTGGCCCATGGCCTGTAATCCTATTGACTCAGGAGACTAAGGAAGGAAGATGGAAAAGATCAAGGCCAGCTTGAACCTAGACCCTGTTTCAAAATAAAAAATGAAAAGGACTGGGATGTAGCTGACTGGTAAAGTGCTCCTGTGTTATAAAATAAAATACTGTTATATGAGAAAAGAAAGGTGCTGGTCTAGGTATACTGTATGCTCCCTTTTACCTTTTGTTAATACTTATTACAAAATATACATTTTTAAAATGAAAGGATATACTTATAATAAATAAAATGGTTACCTACAGGGAGAGAGAGAATAATGTAAAAAAGACGTGGATAGAGGTTAAATTTCTCAGTATATATGTCAGTCTTGATTTTAGAACCATGTAAATAACTACAATAATTACAAAATTTTACATGCAAAATAAAAAATTTTAAAAAGCAAATTCTAGCTGGGCATAGTGATCCATGCCTGCAATCCCAGTGACTTGGAGGCAGAGGCAGAGGATTACAAATTTGAAGCCAGCCTCAGGAACTTAGGGAGACCTATCTC